TGATCTGATTAGTTGAAGCTTTCATACACGTCCAATCGCAGGGCTGTTTACAAACGGAAAACAGAGAGACTGTTCGGGAGAGCTCGTGAAAACTCGACGATAAGGTATCTGACCGCCCCTAAATTTTTCTCAACGGATTTAGACGATTCACAAAAATGATCAATTTAAGAAATAAAACGGCGGATTTCCGCGGATCCGCGGAAAATTGCCATGTATGTATATCACGATAACAATATACCAAAATATATTTTCAGTTATCCTATTAGAAAAAAATACAATATACTAGTGTCGGGAAAATTTGTTTCAAATTATGCACAAAAAACAATTGGAAGTGAGTTGCAGTGTGAGCATTGTTAAGACAATGTGTTTCTGCCAAAAATTGTAAGGTCTCTAGTTACGTGACTTCTTCATGTCTAGTATAGGGTTAGCAATATTCCTGTCTTCTCTTCTCATTACATTTTTAGATAGTGTTAATCATATTTCTAATCGGATTCAACTTCAATTACTAGGGTAGAAGTAGTTCACATTTTTTCATTATTAAGAGATAATCCGGATGCTTTTGAAAAGCCTGAGATAGTATTCAAAGATGTATCCATTGCGGATCTACCTTTTAGAAATATAGAGGTGTCATCTGCGTATTGACTTATTTTAAATTATTTGTCAAAAATGGTAAACCCTTGAACATCCTCTGAATTATTAATAAGGAATGTTAATAACTGTATTGCCAGTATAAAAAGGTTGGGAGAAATTGAGCATCCCTCGCGAATACCACGTGACACTAACTCTAGGCGTCGCTCCAGGGTTCAGAGAAACAGAGCTGTTGCTGTCAGTGTCAAATATTTTCAAAATATTCCAGAAACCCAAAGTGAAGCGCCTCCAACAGTAGCAAAGAACTGTGATTTAATTTTTGACTGCCCCTCGTATTTTAGTCATATATGTGAGTCATTACTGTTTTAAAAGTAGTAGATACATGTATATAAAAAAAAAAACGAAAACATGCATCTATAATTGCTAAGCAAATCTATTGTATCGATTTTTTTATTGGATGTCATCACATCGTTCAACGTCATAATCTGTCGGTTGTGTGCAATGTACTGATGCGTTAGATACCATCACTTATTTTAAGCCACTCCATCAATCTGCACGAGGCCTGTGCCTTTTTTCAACATAGTTAGCATAAAAATCATATTCACGGGCGGAATGTTTTATTATGAGAGAACAATTGCTCCGGTCCCGAGGGTACGTGTGTACTACAGTAACAGGCAAATATTGACGTTTCATGCACTTGCTGCACGCACTCCCCGGAACAAGGATGTAAGCTAAAGCTAAAGCTAGCTGCTAAACAGCCATATTAGAATAACACTCCCTTCCTTATAAAAAAACAAAAATAGAGTATCTATGACCAATGGTTTAGCCATTCAGAGTTTGGACATTCTCCCTCCCCACTGACGTTTCAACACAAAGCAGCCGTTTGTGTTTCATAATGATGGCTGGGAGATCGAAAACGACAGGGCTGCTAAAAAAAAAAATGAGTGTGTTATTTCAACGAGCCTTACCCATGTCTGTGTTTGCTGTTGTTTCTCTTTGGCCGCCGGACGGGCTGCAGGGGAATATTGTCGGTCATTCCGGGGGGGGAAAAAAACCGCCGCCGCGGACACGCAGCTTGGCTGGAGCGGTTCTGAGGTCCTGGGCGGAGGCTGTCACTTTGCACCGTGTCGCTGACAGAGAGCCGGGTGGGACACACTAAATAAAGACAAAGCAGGGGAGAAAAAAAGAGACTCCTCATGGGCAATTTATGTATGCGAAAATGCATATAAAGACACATACCAAACTTATAAAACAAGCATAAAAAGAAAAAAAGATTATGAATAATTCAGTGCATATTCATGTTTTAAAGAAAGAAGTCCTACCCGTTGTTCTCTGTAAATTACTACCTATGTTCTTCTTATAAAGTCATTTATCCCAAATAAAAGAAAAACAACGCTTTCCATAATCTCAAGATAGTTTTATGTATGAGCGTGACAAATAACAAGGAAAATATACTTTTTTTTCAGTTTTTATTTCCTAATTACAACAGCATACACCAAGCGACACAATGGCCACTTATTGCAACAATTTACTGTTTTATAAAAATACATTCAAGTCATATTGAATATAAGTGAGTTTGATGGCTCGTTTGAAAAATTAATTGCCAACCTCTGATCTGCAGCATGGGACCCCGTGCTTTACACAGTTATCGAGTTGTCCACTCATTTAGCCACCACAGATAACTTTTGAGCAAGAACATATTTTGACCGACCATCGAAGCCACAGCACAGCGAAGAAAGCTGTGAGTCATCTTGGGTCAAGCCAGCTACCACAGCGGTTGTGCACAGGTTACTCTGCAACATGTCGCGAGGGTCAACTTCAAACTAAAGGCGTTCAAGTAATGCTGTACATCAGGTGTGGGCAATTCTTGGGCCACCATCCTGCATGTTTTACATATTTCCCTCCTCCAACACACCTGATTCACATGATCAGCTCATCTGCAATCTCTGCAGGAGCCTGATAATGATCCTGATCATTTGAATAAGGCGTGAGGAGGAAACCATTTCAAACATCCCGGATGGTAGCCCTCAAGGACCGGAGTTGCCTACCCCTGCTCTACATAGATATCACTTCAATGACCTATTCTTTAGTACACAAATGACATAATTGAATTGGAGCACAATTATGAGTTGTCAGTGCTCATGCACACAGGCTGATGTGCGCTCCTGACCATAAGCAAAGAAATGGCAAATAAAGTTTTCTCATTAAGATCAGCAAAACTTAGATTTGATCCTGCATGTATTATGAGGGTGTTGACCAAGGTTCTGGACAGGCACAGCGCCAGGATTTGTTCCTCTCTCGGGGCTAAGGGGGGGGGGGGGCTTGATCGATATTTGGGGGGCCAAGAAAAAAAAAGTTTTCCATGACTTCACTTACTTGAGTGGTTCTCTCATTTTGTTAAATAAAAGCATAATGCACACTAGTGGTGCTTGGTAGAGATGTGTATTCAATATCAGGCATAAATTTGCCTTAAGGTGGAGGTTTGGACCATACCGTCGAGTTGCGGTAATTGATTACATCTTAGTATATCTTTGTATCCTTTTCCGTGCGCACTGCTCAATGTGACAGAAATGCAATGTATTTTGAAGCTTGCGCAGTTGCAAGCTGCACCTGGTGCTCCTTCAGGAGTTGGACCAGGCTCATTTTTCCAATCGCCCTCTTCTTCTTTACCTCCCCCTTGGAAGACTGGGAGATGTTTTTTTTTTAATTGCAAAGCAATCAATTGCTGAGATTGACTCCAGCTAACTAACTCTAACCTAAGGTGTGTTTGGAAATTAACTCTGACATCTGTGCAATGCTCAATGAGTGGGTGTGGTGAGAGAGGTAGAGTGAACTTCACTCTTGTTAGTTTTTGAATGCAACATTCATAAACTAACTAACTACACTAGCGTGCCATGTCCTCAGATGAAGTGCCTAGTTGCTACCGCCATTTTTGGTGCACTCTGAATAGCCGAACAACAAATTTGAGCAACATTCTAAATTTCCGAGCAGTCGCAATGAACCAGTATGGACGGAAATTATTTCTGAATGCACCTCTAATGCACAAATAACTCTAAGACTCACCCTGCCCCCTCATAAACACACACTGGGTACAGCTGTAGCACAAACATGGAAGCAGAAATTATAGTGGAACAAAATGGCTATTTATGAACTTTAAAAAGTGACGTTTTTAACAGGGAAGCTAGACAGATTTCTGATGGGGATGTCGTCTCCCTTAGCCCCGGTGTTTCCCTATGCATGGTTCTAGATATGTGCACACTTTATTTCATGTAATCTGGACTATGGATGTATGCGTGCCGATCTGTGTCAAAATGCCAGGGCTGACTTTTTTTTCCTTTTTTGTGCCAGTGCACTCCTGCTTGAAGGCATGAATGAATTCATGACAATGCAGGTCTGAAAAAAAGTGAAGACTTTATTTTTCAAAACCAGCAAACAGTTGAAGGGAACATTTGGAGAAAACAAAACAATGTACACTGTAAACTCGCCACACTGGCTCAACATTGAATTGTAGAGACATCTTTGAAAAGCAGTTTTGACATGGTTCACTTACAAAAAAGGCACAACTTGGCAAATGCATAATTACTAAGGAATGTACAGCAGGGGCCTTCAAATGAACTCTGACCATTCTGATTTGTGTAAAGTGTCCTGTGATACATTCATTGGAGTTCAACACAGCAGATTTAGAGGAGAAAATAAAATATATGTACTCAAGAATGTATTGGGGGACAAATGTACAGTTAACTGAGAAAGGGAGGTGTGGAGAACCAAAATATAAATGAGGTAGAACTTATCCCCAAAATTCAAGCCTTGTGTACTATAAATAAATTAAAATGCTACAATTTGAAGACCATTCAATCCGAGCACTGGCAAACCTCTGGGACAAAAATTGTAATCTTGCCCTTTGTCCCGCTAAGACAGCATGACATAGAGAGACTGAGATGCAACAATAAATGTGACCGTATAAACCTCAAATAAAGTGCAGGCTGGACAATATTCTGCATTTGGAGCACAGCCAACTAAATGTGACACTGCTTTACAAGAAAACACAAAGGCAGCAGAGAGAGTTCTGGGTGTAAATCGGATACACAAGCAATGCTACATGGTACAAATCATACTTCTACCAAAACCTTTAAATTAATCCTCTGGTGCATTGAAAGACAACAGCAACGCACTCAATTCAAGTGAGGCACTTGGCATGGAGAACCATTAGTCATTGTCATTACTTATGTACATCATTCAAAACTAACACAAATGCAACAGGCAGGACACTCGAGTAACCTGTCCAAACCCCCCTTTCAATGTGAAAAACTACACTACAAAAATGTCATAAAATCGATGGCACACAATAGGAGGGAAAGTAGTCATTTTGGACCAAAACGGTGGTTGAATATGCCAAAGTTATGAGCGCTTAGACACTGACCTTGTAAGTCAAACCTTTAAAGTCCAAATCCTTCAAAAAGTAGAGAAAACAAAACAGGTGGAATTAAAGCAGAGTTTCAAGTAAAGTTCTACATTCAAACTTTTGGATAAACGGAAAAAAAAATAGTCACAGGAAAAAAATACCCGTATATGTTCATATAAAATACAACTACAGTAGTTACATTACGCCAACTAAAAAGCAATGCTAAAGAATCAATTGAATGAGTGATGTGACACAATTACTGAGAAAAGACCAATGCTGAATTCCATGATTGTACCTCATTTGTGAGAAGACATTCGGGGTGAGAGTTGAGGTGATTAGTTGACTGCAATTTTCCCCTCCTCCATGAAATGGGGAAACTGGGATTTTGGTACACTGTCAGAGCTGTTTTTCTCAATTTCAGCCATGGAGGCAGGCAAGCCAGAATGGGATCCGTCCATCTTCATGAGGCCTCCGGTGGATCCAATCAGCGGGGCGCTGCCAGCAGGGCTCCCGGGGAGGGGGATGCCTCCCCCCTGAATGACAGAGATCTCGTTGGCCTTCATGGTCAGACCGCCACTAAAGGCCGTAGTGTACTGGTTCCACATTGAGGGGTCAAAGTTCATGGGAGGAGCAGCAAGTTCTTTGGGGGCTTGCAACATTTCTGGTAACATCTTTGGCTCGGAGCTCATTGCCATAAGAGCCATGGGATTATCCAGGGAGAGACGCTGACCACGTCTTGAAGAGTTGTTCCACATGTGGGTACCAATATGTACCTGCAGGAAAAATAAAACGCAGTAAAATGACACACCCATCCATAGACAGTGTGAAGTTTGGATAACAACCGTGATAAACAAAAGCATGTATTTCAATGGCCGCCAGAGCTGTCGTTATATTCGCTTAATATTCTAGATTTCCTTCAGTGTTCTTTAAGACACATACCTTCAGCTCAAAGACATTTTTTCAATCTTCAGAGTTAAGAAAAACACCATGCTAAGTTTATTGACTGGAAATACAAAGTTGTCATCGGAGAGCGACGTTTGCCATTTGCAAGTCGGCAGTATTAACACTCAACATACCTTTAGATTTCCTTTGGTGGTGAACGCCCGGCCGCAGATGTTGCAGGCAAACGGCTTCTCCCCTGTGTGAGTGCGCTCATGAATCTGCAAGGCGCTGGCGGAAGAGAAGTTCTTCGCGCAGACGTTACAAACATGCTGTTTAGAGGACCGGCGCGGTGCCGTGGAGACTGGCGAGGGTATGGCAGTCCCCGGGGGCATTTGAGATGTGAACAAACCATGGGTCCCCAACGGGTTCTCTTGCGGAATCTTCATCTCCAGACTTGAAGGGATCCTCATGAAAGGCATATTACTTGCAGCTGCTGATACAAAAAGGCAGTGAGTTCCATTCAAAATGAAAACAACTGCAGTGCTTCCGAGATTGATTAACTCACCGTATTCTCCAGTTGTGAATGGCACACTAGGTTCTTCTTTGATCGCTTTTGGGGTGAAGCTGCTTGAAGCCGTGAGGTCAAGGGCTCCACTTGATTCAGTTCCACCTTGAGTTGTCCCTTCAAGGTCCGGTTTGTACCCATTACGAACAAACTCTTCTGCAGCAGATTCCGGAGACTTGAGGCTACTGGTGTTGTTGAGAGGAGAGGCAGAATGAAATGACACAGCAGAATCAGAAATACCCGGGCTGCGGCCGTTCTGATATTCCTGCTCTCTGGGAGCAGACGGCGATTCTTTGGGTGTCCCCTCGCTCTCAGACAGGGTGCTACCCTGTCGTTTTAGTGCAAGAGCAGAGGTGAGATTCTTCAAGACATCAAGGCTGGAAAACATGGCGGGGCCAGCATGCTTCTGCTCGTCTGTGGCAGGCGGGAGAGAGTCAGAGTTCTCACTTGGCTTCTGAGAGCTTCCCTCAGGTTCTTGAGCCTCCATGTTTTCTTCAAAGCCATTTAGGTCCACAGATTTTTCTTCCGGTGGAGAGGACTCAATTGCGTCATTTGCTTCAAAGTGGTTTTCTGGCACCGGGGTGTTGGGGATTTGGCCGCCCATGTGCATGCGAATATGCTGCTGCAGCACCACGGCATTGGTAAACTTCTTCTGGCAGATGGGACAGGAGTGCTGCATTTTAAGAGGGGTGTTGGCCCTGTGCACCCCGTAATGGGCCTTCAGGTTGCCTTTGGTGGAGAAAGCACGGCCACAGATCTTACATTTGTATGGCCTCTCCCCGGTGTGCGTACGGTAATGCATCTTCAGCGAGCTCTGGCAGCTAAGAATTCTGTGGCAGATGACGCATTCGTTGGGATCGTTTGTCTTCTTTTCCAATCCGTCCACCATCTGCTGAAGCTTTGCAGTGCCGGAGCTTTGCTCTCCAGACATGACATTACCATTCATGTGATGCAGTGTTCCCAGGAGCTCCTTTGCATCCTTCTGAGTGTGATCCATACCGGTGTCTTTGCCATAGACATTTGAGGAAACCGATGGGGAGCCATCACTCGTGGATGGCGAGGGTCTCTGGGAAAACGGGTCTCCACCACCGAAGCCATCGAATGTCTTGAATCCGGAGAGTGATGAAGAATGGAACCCTGCAGCAGCATGGCCAAGCACTGGCTTAATTTCATTTGACTCTTCCATGGGCACCGACATGCCAAAGGGAATACCGCTGCTGGTGGGAATGTTGTCAAGGTGTTCAGGCACAGGATGAGGGTTCATGGTGATGTTGGGATACTTGTCTTTGTGCCTTTGAAAATGCACTTTGAGGTTCCCTTTGGTTGTGAAGCGGTTTCCGCAGATGTTGCATTTGAAGGGCCTCTCTCCGGTGTGCGAACGCAGGTGAATCTGCAGGGCGCTGTCATTGCCAAAGGTCTTTCCACAGTACTTGCACTTGTGCTTGTATAACGAGTCTCCATTCTTTGACTCTACCGGAAGATTCAACAGTTTTCCCTTTGCTTTTTTCAAATCAATCCCTGCTTGGATACCACTGAAGGTGCCCGGGAAACCTACAACGCCTGGGGACTCTGGAAGCAGCGCTGGTAAACGGCCAGCCAGATCCGGAATGCCCTTCAAAATATCCATTTTAGAGGTCATTGCACTCAGTCCCGCAGGCACAGAAGTTGGGATGCTTGTGGGTAGAGACAGTTTACCTTGGTTCACTGCCTCCACTGACAGGTTCTGATTACCAGTCCTTTTTCCTATCAAAGCCGCTGCAGCAGAGAGCTGCTGGGAGAGATGTGCGCCAAGGGCTTTCAGGGGGTCCATGGCTGCACCCACTGATGACCGGAGACCCTGTGGGGTCATCATGGCCACTTGGATTCTGATCTGTTCTGTAATCTGGATTTGCTGTAGCTGCTGCTGCTGGAGGCACACCAACTGTTCCAAGATCATGGGGATGACCTGTAGGGCGTCCTGCGACGACAGAGCTGTTGTGTTTGAAGTGGTTTGGGAGGCAGAAAGTTGAGCGTCAGTAGTCATAGCCTCAAAAGTGTTTGGATCTTGCATCTCGGGGGAAGGTTGGAAGTGTGTCTCGGGACTGGCAGGTACATCTTCTTGGTCCTCCATGTGCATGTTAGACTCATCCTCATTTTTTTCCATTTGGTCAGCATTGGCAGCAGCTATGGAATGGCTGCTGGACCGGCTATCGTCATGGTCACTGGTGGGGCCTTCAGGAGAACCTTGTGAATATTCCTCCGGCACCTCACTGCAGTCACCATCTCTCATAATGACCACTTGCTGGCTTTTGGTACAGTTCTTTTCATGCTCCAAAAATTCTGATTCATCAAAGAATTCACCGCAGCACTTTTTGCAGATTTGAGTCTGGTCCATTCTGAATCTTTTCACTTCTCCATCAGTCTCCTGCGCTGCATCATCTTGTAGAATGCCTGTTAGGGGTTGGAAGATATACGCCTTTAAATGACAGTTTTTCTAAACATATGACAATGTAGTAATCAACAAGTGTTTTTTTTTCTTTTTAAACATTCTGGCATGTACAAATTCCTTTAAATCATAACAAATGAACTATTTTCATATATTACTGGAACAATTTTCAAAAAGAACACTGATACAACACTGTAAAAGGGAGGTCCATCTGGGCCAGTTTCCTCTGTTCAGGTCCCTTGAACAACTTTGAATTAACCTTTTGTCCACAAGGCCAGCAGGGGGCAACCAACTACTTTTAACACGAATCTCAACAATGTGCAAGCGCATAAGGAAGCATTGGTATTTAAAATAATTCATGCAGTTATTATATCAACACCGAGTAGTTTAGAGGAGTGTAGTGGGACCATTGTCTGAAAAAAAGTGCACCTTTATACTTTCAGGTAACTCAGCTCACAAAAAAAAAAAAAAACGAAACCAGCGTGAATTGCCAAATGTACATTTCAATTTGTCTCTATTTAACAACTGGCTGTATTAATGCTAATGCCTTGTGGACTGGAGACGGGGCAGGCCACCTGTTTGCATTTGCTCAAAGAAACTGTTGGACTTGATAATTGCTCACCAGGAGGTACTGGAACGGTGTCACAACACACACGCACACACACACACACACACACACACACACACGTTGCATTACAATACTTATCCGAGGGGGAAACTGCCCACATTTGCGCACAAACGACTCAAGAGCTCTCCTACCCCCCTTGGCTGCAGTACCTAAACTGAGACGGCAGATAATCACTTATCCGGCTACAAACGCCGTTCTTGTACGTTTTGATTGATTACAACCGCACTACCATTGAATCCAGTACAGCTTTTTCAAGTTTTTCATTCACAGAAAAGGGTGAACGCTCTTCTGTTGGAGGTATGGGGGGGGGGGGGGAAAGGAGGAGAGAACGAGAGAAAAGAGCGAGAGAAAGAGAGAGAGAGAGAGAGAGAGAGAGAGAAAGCGAGCGAGCCCGGGCCCCCCACCCCCTTCCCACCCAACAGGCTCCACTAAAAGGGCCGCTGCTCCATCCCCCACCCCCCACATACGTACCAAAGGAAACAGTCATGCATTAAACTGGGGGATTTATTGCCTTTGGGTCAGCTTTCCCGGAGTCCCATTTCATACTTTTTTATAATTGAGGGTGTAGTTACATTTGTTTCAAAGTTGTAACGTTTGCAAAAGAATGTGAATTTCGACTTGTTTTAAAAAGTCGAGTTTTAATTGGGATGGGTAACATTAAATAAATCAAATTAAAATTAAAACGCGATTTAAGATTCGAGTGCGCAGATTCGACACGACGAGGCGACAAAAATCAAACTACACAAGATGTATTCATAAAAAAGGGACTTGTTTTACGAAGGAACCGGTTTGTAAGTGTTAATTTTTTTTTTTATTTCACGTCCGGGGGATTTTCATTCACACCACCCACTCGAAGAGGGGATATAAGGAAAACAATCAACAGGTATTTTGAATGAAATAAGTTTTTCAGTGGTTTCAAGATACGTTCGATTTACATTTAGACCCACACCTGGGTAACCTTTGTCGAGTTTCGATTTGCGTCCCAAACCTCCGATCAGCACCGTCAAACGTGTCCATGGGGAACCATTAAAACAATTAATTCTAAGTAAAACTCACCGTTTTGTGCGGACCCGGGCTCGTCCGAGTTGATGTGCTGCGGTTTGGCTTGCTTGCGCCTCGACATGCTGCAACCATCTGGGCCAAAAAGAGTTCCGCACTATTATGCTCCTCTTCTTCTACAAATTCTTTTGGCCTTAAAAAAATGCTTGCCCCTCACCACCACGCTCCTACCTCCTCAAATGCGCATGTCAACGTAATTATTATTATCAATAATGCATTGCGAGTTATCGCTGTGCTCCGACAGCTGATTGGCTCCGGTCCAAGTTGTCGCACATTATTCAAATGAGCAAGCCCTCTACCTCATCGATGAAGGGGGCGGGAGAAGCCCTGCCAGTGGCCGGGCCTGCAGCACGGAGGCCGGCTTAATGACGCCCAGCTCATTGGCCGGCTCCCGCATCGCAGGAAGTCAAATCCAAATACAGTAGTCCACGAAATTCCAAATAAAGCACCCCAAATCATTTCCCCCCTCACACAATGAAACCACCATAACATTAATTGTATGTTTTATTGCTCTGTAATGGCAAAGGGAAGTAGGTGATCATTTAAAACTCAAAGGCCCTCGTTCAATTTTTAATAGATTGTCTTGATCTTCACACAATTTAATTCGTGTGCTTGTATAAAAACAACAACAAAAAAAAACAGCATTTCGTTAGAAAAACCTAACATACACTATATAGGCTATATATTTTTGCCCGTGCCTTTGTAATGTATCTGAATAAAAAGGTAATCAATATTCTGGATAGCTAACCATGCTTTGAAGACAGTGTGGCAAAATATGGCCCACAGGCCACATGCCGTTACCATCACAATTTATGTCAATGAGCAGTCATGCTACCCTTAAAACAAACTAAAATAAATAAATAAATAAATCAGTGACCAATGGTGAAATTTTGCTCAATTAATGTAGCTCGAGTTGTAATTCACTTGTCTCATCTTTGTTTAAATCTTCTATTTGTGTTTTAACAGTTGGTGAACTGAACATAACTTGACTTGTGCTAAATGATTAACTCTCTGTGCTTTGTAAATGTACCACTTGTTGTTGATGTTGTTGTTGTTGCTTTTTTTTTTTTTTTTTTTTTTGTGAGTGGATCCAAAGAAGAATAGTGCACTGAAGACACTGATGAGGGATCCTTAAATAAACAAATAAACTAGTTGTCGCCCTGGGACCCGCATTCTCCAATTGTTGCAAAGATGTGACCCACTTGTATAGATGTTAGGAACAAGGGAGAACATTCTTTGTTAAAAATAGACTCTGAAAACTCATGCAGACTATATAAATGTTTCTGCGTTCTCTTCAAATGAGTTTGATGTAATGCCAAAAGCATATCACTCATAAAGAAGGCATGTTGACATCGTAAAGGGCTATTTCAACAACAGACAGTAAAAACACAAATGCTGCAATAATTCTAATCCTGCATCTCATTAGCATTCACCTTGTGGGCACAGACGACCATCCACCAAAAGACGAAGAACAAAAAGCATTCCTGGAAATTTACCACACAGCACTGGAGAGAATCAAACAACTTTATGTTAGCTCCTCAAAAGCACATGCTGTTCTTTCAATGTTATCCAGATCCTGTACGTATGTGCATCACAATCACACTAGCCCCCAAACAATCAATTGAATAGTAAACAATGGAATTCACTAATAATCCCCAGAGGGGGGAAAAAAATCCCCCAACAGAAGAGCACTGCACATCTAATACATCAGCGTTATACACACACAATGACTTGTTCTTTACAATTGAATTGAACTTTTCCCTTTACGTTCTCCCAGTCAGCCCATGCGCACAGACAGGAATTTATTTTTGGCATACCAGTGACATTCCAAGCCGGGTCCAAACTCTGCCGCGCAGACATTCGAGGGGTCAGCTGAGATCAAACGCGTTGCGTGGGAACTTTTGGGGAAAGCCATTGTTTTAAGACGGGCTGCAGGAGAAGGCTGAGGATTCCTCAGGATGCAACAATATGGTGTTGTGTTTATCTTTCAATAAAAGACAACGTTTAAATGGGGATGAAATGATTCCTGTGGTTTGTGTCAGAATATCATCAACAGTGAGCGATTTTCAACAAAATATTTTTATTGCTTGCAGGTCTTGATAGTTCTGATGCCTTATTGAAAATTAAAAACACCTCCAGGAATTACCTTTAACATATATAGCTTGTGTTACATAATGGCCCCCCCCCGCAGACAAAGAGTGGACAAAACACTTGGATGACCAAATGCTCTTTGAGGGTCTCGACTGAAGGTGGAAAAGAAGGGAGTGCTGTCTAGACGCTTTATGGCCCCAATAAGAAAGTATACTTGAATACGCTGTTTTGTTTCTTCTTCTGCGACTGTGTGTGCAAATACAACCGTGCCCCCCTACTGCCTATAGGGAATACTTTTAATGTTGACAGCAACAAAATGTTCTCGTGAAATATTGAGCATACTAAAATGCACCCTCGTAATTACAGATATATTTACAACTACGTCAATTGTCCAAATACTTTTCAGCCTCCGAAAATGGAGTTTACTCCTAAATCATCGAAAAGAAAATTTTTGTTAGACTGATTCAAAAGGTGAAATGAAGGTCACCTGTAAAGGTTATCGTTTATTTTATGTTCATCGTAAAATTTTACCCACATATCCCTCTCTGTTTGTGAGTGGTGTATTGTAGTTGTGTAGAGAGACAATACAAGAAACTCTGTCATTACCCAAATACCGGTGGATCAAAATTTATAATCATCTCAAGTGGAATGCCCTCTATAGTTCATAAATGGACCAATTTCTCTGACAAAAGTGACCTCGAAATTTGCCCAAACCTTTGAATGTTTAAGCCGCTCTTTTGTACGGCATCATGGACTGCATGTGAGCGACAAATGATTAACTACTTGCTTGTTTTACTTTGTCTTTTTTTTTTTTTTTTTTGTGACACTCACAGTTTTCCAAAAGAGGGAACAGCCTCACTAGGCTAAGAACATACACAGTAACTTATGTGAAGTGTCATCACTTATCAAAGAGTTGTTTGCCGCCATCCGTGCACAGAAGATAACGGCACCTCTCGCACTGAAAAAATGGTGTGTTCAATTTCCTCTATTTAAATATTTCAATTGACCACATACAATAAAATCATCTGGATCTCCGGATATTTTTAAGTACATGTACAGTCTTCTTTAAAAATGTACCTGGATGCCGATGATTCTATTTCGTGCAAGCACTTAACGAAATAAATCCGAGTCAATTCAACACAGCATTCTTTTGTGTGTATGCAAGGATGCTGCATTTGAGGAACGTGGGAAGTTGGATTTATCTCACTTGGATTGTCCCGGTTCCGACCTCAAAGCATTCGAGGTGAATGTAAACAACAAAGATGGCTGATCCCGATGAATTGTTTGTTGTTCTGATTCAACACATGTTTTGACCTCCAGAAAACCTTCATTCATTCATTCATTTTCCGATTTGCTTTATCCTCACAAGGGTCGCGGGGGTGCTGGAGCCTATCCCAGCCGTCTTCGGGCAGTCGGCGGGGGACATCCTGAACCGGTTGCCAGTCAATCGCAGGGCACAAAGAAACGAACAACCATTCGCGCTCACACTCACACCTAGGGACAATTTCAAGTGTTCGATCAGCCTGCCATGCATGTTTTTGGAATGTGGGAGAAAACTGGAGTACCCGGAGAGGCAAACCTTCATCATTTTCTTAATTTATATGAATAAAGAAATGCTATCTTCAAAGCATTTCATTTCTTACTTTATTTACTTAATGCAGGGTGATAATGGCATTTTTTCACGCAGTCACCAGTACAAATCACTTTGTGCTCGGTGAAGTTTTGAATAACTAAATGTAATACGAAATAAATAAGGATATAGGTTCATAATAGGCAGCCCCGTGGTCCAGTGGTTAGCACGTCGACCTCAAAATGCAGAGGTACCGGGTTCAATTCCAGCTTCAGCCTCCCTGTGTGGAGTTTGCATGTTCTCCCCGGGCCGCGTGGATTTTCTCCGGATCCTCCGGTTTCCTCCCACATTCCAAAAACATGCATGGCAGGCTGATTGAACACTTGAAATTGTCCCTAGGTGTGAGTGTGAGTGTGGATGGTTGTTCGTCTCTGAGTGCCCTGCGATTGGCTGGCAACCGGTTCAGGGTGTCCCTTGCCTACTGCCCGAAGACGGCTGGGATAGGCTCCAGCACCCCCCGTGTCCCTAGTGAGGATCAGCGGATCGGAAAATGGATGGATGGTTGGGTTTATAATTTTGTAAATATTGTTTTGCCATTGATGGTCTTTGTCTCCATGTGGTTGGTACTGTTGAGTGACATCACATTGAAATTGGTCAGTGAACTCGGGGTCCTTTTTTTCGCTTACTTAGACCTCCCAGTTCAAGGGGGAATAAATATTTTGTTAATTTGCGCTTTATGCTTAAATTGTTATGTACAACTTTTATGTTTATTTTTATTTATTTAGGATTTTTATGCACAAATAAAGTAAGTTCTATGCATCCTAAAGAATCAAAATTGAACCGACTCCTGAAGCTCTTAACACTACACATCCTTAGTTTGCGCCGTTGTGAGTGTGAACACAGTCGACTCCATTCACCACCAAACAAAGCGGCTCCTCTCATTATCTTTAAATGTGGCAAACTCACATCTCTCATGTGACATCTCTGTGAGGAAAAGGATGCAGCAATTTGTGTGTGACTGGAGCATTGTTGCTGCTCTTGGTCAGTGTGGCAACCGATAACGTACCCTTCCTAAATGTAGAATGACATTTAGAATTAACAGTGGTTGACTTAATTTTAATCTTAAAAACATTAAAATGTTTCTTAAAAGGGTCAAGAAAGGTTTCATGATGACAAGAGTTTGACCCTGGAGCAGATTAAATCCCTTTCCATTTTTTCCAAAGGAAATAGAAGCGTTGAAAAGTTAAACAAATCGGAGGTCGACAACCATCCTGGAATACATTCATCACCTTCGAGCAAGGGTGGCCTAAGTAGGCCCGGGGGACACAAACAGCTGACCTACATTTACATGATCAAGTGTATTTATTACATTCATTTAGCTGTTGTGTTCCTAAAATTGTTTCATGAAAATGTATTTCATGAAATTTATTGATTCATGGCTTATAGAAAATCATTACACGAAAATAGTAGAATATATACATTTCAACTAAAAAGCATTTACATATGATCTTATATTTCTGTAATGGACATATAAGTTTGTGCAA